TTTGCTAATCAATCTTCTTTCACGCCAATCGATACCTGTTTCTTTTAGGATCTGCATTAATTTGGTCCAGTTTACCCGGTCAAATGCCTTCTGCCAGTCTATGAAGCAAACACACAGTTCTTCATCTATCTCCAAAGTTCGTTCCGCTATAATTCTCATCATCCCAATGGCATCCCTGGTTCCTTTTCCTCTTCTAAATCCAAACTGATCTTCTCCAAGTACATCCTCTATTTTCCTTTCAATTCTTCTTTTAAGTATCTTATAACATATAACATAAAACATTGGAGATTCAAAATCTTATGTTGACTTTGAAAATTTGTGGGAACCACCCACACTAAACCAAACGTTGTAACAAAAACACACTTATTATGCAATTGTGACTAGGAATTGTTCACAGCTATGCAACTGCTGTAATGAAGTCCCATGGTTCTCTTTCTGCTGTAGATAATTCCTCCATTTATGATCTTTTCACCTTCTGTGGTTCTGCTCATATCAATAATTGTAAATAAGCAAATTCATAAGGTATGAAACCTTTAAGACAGACACAGTAATGGTAAGAAGATGATGAGGATGATAGCCATCAGAAGGACCAACAGATTAACACAGGGTATGAATCAGAGTGTGGATTTGACAAAACAGTGACCTCAAAAGAGTAAGCGAATATGGAAAAATCTAAATTGAAGGTGACCATTCATCAATCAGATATGTTGAATTAAAAATCTGGACTTTCACAACTCAGGAATCATTGAGGATGATCTACTACTCTTATTTCCATGCAGTTTTGTCGTATGGTATAATCTTCTGGGGGAATTCCTCTCATAGTAACAATATATTTAAACTGAAAAAAAAAGGTCATAAGAATTATTAAAATTCTAGAAATAGGGACTCCTGTAGGGATCTGTTTAAGAAATTAGACATATTACCCTTTTATTCTCAGCATATATTCTCATTATTAATCTTTGTAACTGATAATATTTCCTTATTTAAAATAAATTTGGAGTTATATGATATCAATACCAGAAGCAAAAATAATTTTTGCCATTCACAACCAAGGTTGTCAATTGAAATAAATGGTGTTTATTATATGGGTATAAATTATGGTAAATGGACATTTAATCACTTACATAAAAGAACTGTTAGACGATAAGAATCAATTTAAAAATACTTTAAAAATTATCTTCTACTGAATTCTTTTTATTCACTGAAGGACTATTTTAATAGTAAATACTAATCATAATGTTATATTTTTATCCATCATAAGGTGCTTTTTTGTTGCATAAGATATATAATCATCTACTTTCCAGCATGAAGACGTGTTCTAAGTTTAAGATATTGCCATGTATAAAGTAGGAAGATAAATCACATTGGCTTATTGTTTCATCTGACCTATGCTTAATTTCCATAAACCATGTGTATTTTTTACTAACTTCTTAATTGCTATGTTACGTATTTATTGTACATTTTATTGTATAGGTTATCTGTTTGTGTCTGGTTCTATATCTGTCGGGCGTACTCTGTAGCCTCGATTGGATCGATGGCATTTTACAATGAATGAATGAATGAATGAATGAATGAATGAATAGAACCTGAAGTTCCCATATATCTCTCATTCTAGGGTGGTTTATTATGCTTAGATTTAAATCTGACATGGAATTTAAAACTTGAAACATGAAAAATATATTCCAAATTATTTCAGGGGAACCAGGTGTTTTCATTGGAAAGATAAATCCAAAGATTCCATCAAGGGCTTTCCTTGGTTATGTTGATGAGAAGGAATCACAAAAGAAGATTGTGCATGATGTATTTTCCAAGGGAGATTCTGCATTTATTTCAGGTAATGTTTATTTCATGTGCATTTGTTTGTTTACAAATCATTACCACATACCGAATTGATGTTAAGTAGTCCAGCTACTGACAGCATCATAAAATCCCCCCCTCACCAATAAATAAATATTAAACTTAGATTACTGGAGTCTGACTTGATGCCATGGTGAGAGGCACAAATGGGCAGTGCAATGGTCTCCCCACAAATAAAAATTTGCCTGATGATGGCCCATATGCAGCTGAAACATGTTGCAAAATTGAGAAACATTATGTAAAACAAAAGACATTTTGAAGTATTTTGATAGTAACTTTTAGTGTATAAGATATAGTCACAGTGTCTTAATGATATTTTATGATATTTAATAACATTTTAAAGTATTAAAGTTACACTTTCAGTGAGAAATATATTTTAGGTGTCTTTTATAATTAAAAAGCATTGTTGTATTATTGACTTGTTGGGAAGTGACATATATTGTAATACTTCTTTCTTGACATTCCAGGTGATCTTTTAGTATCTGATGAGTTTGGATATTTATTCTTTAAGGACAGAACAGGTGATACATTCAGATGGAAAGGAGAAAATGTGTCAACATCAGAAGTTGAAGCTATAATCAGCAATTTAGTTGATTATCGGGATGCTGTAGTATATGGTGTGGAGGCAAGTCACATGTGATTTTACACTTTTTCATTCATTCCCTTGAATTCACAAATTTCAGAATTGGAGGTATTAGTATGATTTTACATAAATTACGATTCCTCTGTATATCTTTCCAATATTCAATTTTTTGATATACCAAATACTGTGCACTTACATGCTTGTGTGTGCGTCTGCACTAGCTGTTCCTCTGTGATTTTAGTCCACAAGCGAACTATACTGACTGAGCGACTGCCGCTTGTCGGCGAAGTTTTAGTGTCAAAAATATAATGAAATATATACAACAGTAAATGCATAAAATAGAAATAAATATTTTTTTTGTCTGATAAGCACTGGATGCCCCTGAATATACTGGAACATAAAAATGCAACATAAATTAAGGTATATTATACAAAGTATGAGGTGGGAAGGTCATGTAGCAAGAATGGGGGAGATGAGGAATGCGTATAGGATATTGGTGGGAAAGCCAGAAGGAAAGAGACCACAAGGAAGACAAAGGCATAGGTGGGTGGACAATATTAGAATGGATCTTAGAGAGATAGGATGGGATGGTATGGATTGGATAGATCTGGCTCAGGATAAGGACCCGTGGAGGGCTCTTGTAAACACGGTAATGAACCTTCGGGTTCCATAAAATGCTGGGAAATTCTTGAGTAGCTGCAGAATTGGCAGCTCCTCCAGAAGGGCTCAGCTCCATGAGTAAGTAAGTAAGTAAGTAAGTAAGTAAATAATATACAAAGTAGGAGGATGATGAGGGGCAAACAGTATAATTTTCTTTAATTCTGTACAGTTTTATATAATCAGTGAATTATTTCAGTTGGTTTGTCATAAAATATTTTCTTCCAAGGAAAGAAATTTGTTAAATCTTTTCTGAATGTTTCCTTTCTAACAATGGAAGCAGTATAGCAATTTGTATTTTTACTTGAACACTGTATTAACCAGGCTGGACCAGATTTAGTGTTAGTTTCTTTACTAAAATGTTCCTGTAAAGATTTTAATCACTTCCTGATATTTATTTTTAAAGTTACTTGAAGTCTATACATTAATCTCAACTCATATATGGATTCTGAAGCACATGTTCACTTAGACTTAATTTTCAAAATAATTGCTATCTTCGGTAATCACACAATGTTAATTCTATCATCTCCCGTTCTTGGTAAGGTGCTGTTGTTTTCCTTTTATATTCAGAGGTTTATTGATCAATTTGAATGATCTGTTTAAAAAAAAATATGAAAATGTAAGCATATTTCTTCATGTCTACCTATCTACAAGTAACAGCATCAAAATTACAAGATCATTTCCAGTGACACTTGTTATGACAGAGATACATTGCATTTTGTTAAGTTACTTAGGGGCCTTAATAAAATGTTATGCATGTCTTCAAATGTTTATTTTGACAAGTTTTGATGAAATTCTTATATACAGTACTTGTATTACCTTTATTTTATTAATTTGTTTTAATACATTTTATCATAACTTTCCTCAAGAGGCTATACTACATTTTTGTCTTGAATAATGGCTATATATCTTATATGAGATTTTGACAGAACTCACAAACATTGAAAATTCAGTATTATTGTAACAATACCCATAATGCAAGCATCACTGAAATTTGGCCCAAGCTCCTTCTATTACTAACCATCGCATAGCCAGACATGATGTATAAGTGAAAGTCAACCTTTTAAGGCAACCCCAATGGTGCATATTTCACAGAAACTTTTCAAATGTTGGCAAGCCCTGAAAAAGTCTACAGAAATACTGAAGATGTCTCTGTTAGTCCTATTAACAGTTCTACATTCAAATGTCTGCTGACTGATAAGCACTTAATACAGTAAAACGTTGTCAATAATCTATAAGAGTAAAGTGTGACAATATAGCTATTGCTGCAGTAGAGTAAATATGAAGAAAAAGTATTTTTGTGTCATTTGTTATTAAGTTATTGCAATAAGCATAAATATCTATATCTATCCATGGCTCTACGGCCCTTTGTTGGGGGTTGACCGCTTTTTCAATTTTTTGATCCTGTACACAGTCAGTAAGACTCCTTGAATAGGGTATCAGCCAGTTGCAAGGCCTCTGCCTGTACACAGAACAACACAGACATAAAATAAATTCACACAGACATCCATGCCTGAGTGAGATTCAAACCCATGATCCCACTGTTGGAGAAAGCGAAGACAGTTCATGCCTTAGACCACACGACCACTGGCAACTGGTGGTGGCTGGCAATAAGCATAAATATAGCATCTGAAATAAAAAGAGTTATATTCCATATTGGGGTTTCCTTATGGGTGTCCCATTTTCTTCTTCATCTTCCTACTTTGTACTAACTCAATTTTCAAGACAGAACAGAACAAGCATATACTGCTGCAAGCACCTTAAATGTTGTTAACTCTTTCTTTAGGTATAGGGTTATGGGCCAAAACTCATTAAGCTGTGATACTCACATAAGGTAAAAAGAAAATGAAGTTGCTTCCGGACTTAATTAATTAGGCACCACCCATGAGGACATATGAGGGAGTGGAGGTGTAACTCCAATATTCTTGACCTTGGAACTAGATGGAGGTGAGTGGTCAGTTTCACGCCCCAGCAAATTTACTCCTGAGTAAAGAGCCCCCAGTATGCATTGGATAGGAGGCTGGGTGGACCCCAGAGAAAGTCTGGACCCTGTGGAAAAGAGACAAATTTCTTGCCTTGCCAGGATGGAGCCCTGACCATCCAACCTCTAGCCCATCTCTATACTAACTAAGATATCCAGCTCATAAACCATGAGATATCAGCAACTTAACCAAAAAGCATGTATCACTGTCCTCAGGTAGGATCGGATGAGGGCCGGGCAGGAATGGCAGCAATTCTTGATCAGGATGGCACTCTAAATATCACAGCACTAGCAGATGGTGTGAAAAAGGCTCTTCCTTCCTATGCCAGGCCCCTGTTCATAAGGATATTGAGAAAAGTTGAATTGACAGGTATGTATATGTACAAGGTAATATGTTCAGGAGGATATGTATAAAGTATAGAGATGTGCATTGATTTGAAGATCCACAGAGGTTCAGTATTAGTCATTAGTGTTTTTCAACTAGTTTGTTAGTGAAGTATGAACTGCAAGATATTCCTGTGTGTCCAGGTGTGGGTTGTTGGTTTGCAGAATATCTATAAAGTAGTTCTTATGTTTTTTATGTTTTATGTTTCGTTTCAACTAGTTTGTTAGTGAAGTATGAGCTGCAAGATATTCCTGTGTGTCCAGGTGTGGGTTATTGGTTTGCAGAATATCTATAAAGTAGTTTTTATGTTTTTCTTGCATGATGGACTTAATGCAAAATTATGAAATCACACATTGTTGTTATATCCAAGCACTTATGAACCAAATTTAACATCTTTTCCTTATCTTTTTCATTACAAGTTTCTCAGTTCTCTTTCCTGACATCCATGTTATATTTCTAATTGACATCCTGATGTCATCCCATGCAAGTCTGCATATAATAAAAGAATAACCAAACATAGTGGTCATGAGTGTATTGATTAAGTAAATGTATGGAACAGGTAACCATTGTTATCATAATTAATGTGGAGAGGACATATTTCACTTTTCATGAAGCCGTTCAACAAGTGACAAGTGTGTTCATTAATTTAAATTTATATGAAGAAATCTGATGATTTCCATGAAGCAGAGTCTTCTCGAGAAGTCAGTTGTCACTCAGCTGGTCCACTATGAAACACACGACTGGTCCATATCATGCACTAGATGAACCTCAGACCTTACATAGATGAACCCAGTTTATATCAACACACACTATTGCTTTAAGATCCATATAATACAGCTAAGCCTATAACTTCAAAAGTAGGATCTTCCTTTCAGGTTTTCCGACAAATATTTTCTCAGGATTTATATCACCTTGCCACATGACCCATCCCATCCTCTACTTCTTAATTTGATCACACTAATAAAATTTCGTGAGTAGTACAAATTTAAAAACTACAGTGTTTCTAAATTTGCAGTTTTCTCAATTCACCCTGTTATTTGCTTCATCATGGGTCCAAACATTCTTCTGAGTACCCCATTTTTGCACTCCTGCAGGTAGACAAACCTCAGTATTAGAGGACTGCAGAACTCATTTTTATGTGGTCGAACATACCTGAACTTTATAATTTAGCCTATTTCGATTGGAAAATGGAAGGCCTTTTACTTCATACTGCTTCAAATAGCCATGGAGATGGTCATAATGTGTGATGAGAAGTTGCAGTAAATTTACAGAAAATATATGAAGTGGAATACAAATTACATAGGATAATTTCTGCATAATTTCACATTACCCAAATGTATATCTTAGCCTGAAATAAGGGGTAAACAATTATAGGCATGCATAAAATAGGATGGAATCCTGAACTATATTGCACCACTTTAAATGTTATTCAAGAAATTTTCTCCTGCAGAAAAAGACACTATTATATAGTGTTTGTTTCCTTCACAGGAACTTTCAAGCTAAAAAAGAGGGACTTGCAGCGTGAGGGGTTTGATCCATTAAAAATTGAAGATAAATTATACTACCTGAACCCATCTGGAATGTATGAACTTTTGACTGAAGAAATTTATGTTCACATAATTACAGGAAAGATAAGATTATAATTTTCACAGAAATCATGCAATCAGGAAACAGAGTGTGGACTAATACAGATACTCATAATTAATCACCTTACAATGAAATCTGCTGAAAATGGCTGTTACTGTCAAATGAAACTGTGACAGCATGTAAGTGAGAAGCAGGCAAGGTGTTTGAAGATTTCCTGGAACAATCTTCACATTTTGAAAGAATAGGTGTTGGTAATATGTATCAAAGTGCATCATTATTCATCAAAGTACAGATGGTAAATGGGCTTGTATCAAGCTTCATGTAAATTTGGTTATGGCCATCTTTCAAGTTAGAAAAGAGCTATGTTGAAGATAGTTCTTCAGCCATCCCATGTAAGTATCTTTCATGTTCCAGCAGATGAAGTTAAAAAGGTCAAGAAATTCTTGTCAGAAAGACACTGTTGCATTTTTAACTTGTGTTAACAACAATGGTGCCTTTGAGAGGAGAGGATATTTGATTTTCTGTAATCATAAAGTTTGTAAAATTCTCATTGACATCATATTGCAATAAGTTTTCAACATGAAGGCACACTTTTGTTCACATCCCTCCTTCAAATGCTGACACTACTAAGGAAATATGTTATTATGTAATGCCATTACTAAACATTTTTATGGCAGAGAACTATGAAGTTTGTTAAAGCATTATAAGGTATCAGTGAAATAAAGCATATTTTTTTAAAAATAAATGGCGTGTTAGATAAACGTTTTTCTAATCACCTCTACTGAAATATTCTGCATACCTATTTAGAGTACAGCTGTTGCAGTACACCAAGGAAGATGTATTCTGCAAGAGAGTAGCTATGCTATTTGCCTTCTTTGTGTTTAAATACTTTTGTATGAAGGACATACTCCTATATTCATTTATTAATCCTTCAACTTGCGCTAATTTTACTACACATTCTTGCTTGGTATGGAGGAGTTATTTTGGGTTAAACTTCAGGAAGTCAAGAGAAGTCATTTTTTTAATTTGACACCAATTTGAAATTGATGAAGATCGTCGAAAGATCATTGACCAACTTTCTGAGGAAACGAACATCTCATGGAGCACGGTCCAGCGAATTTTAACCGAAGGTTTGCACATGAGACGGGTGTCTGCAAAATTTGTTCCTCGCTTGCTCAGAGATGACCAAAGCGAAAACCGCGTGAATGTTTTCCGCGACTTGAAGAGTGAAGTGCAGTTTTCCCTAACAGAAAGCAAAATTTCACGCACACTCTTTGTTCCTTCTGGTCTGCCATCTCACTAATCGCCAAAGGGTTGAAACAGGAAAGCACACAACAGAGCACCACAGACAAACCACTTAACTCAGACTGATGCCAGCTCACTAACAGTCGCGGGAGACCCCCAGCTAACACCACCTAGCAGCACAACTTGTAACTACAAAGCATGCGCGCGCAACAGGTCGGTTCCGGTTATTTTTGGGTCCCCCTTCGTAAATGCACATCTGCCAAGGCAGATCATTGCTCTTGCGTTGTTTCACTGTCTGAATGTAGGCTACTCCCGTCTTTAGGCTCCGAGAGTGTAGGTTGGGATGTTTCTGTGTATATATAACATTGTTTTGTTAAAAATGGGGGAAGGGGAGATAAAGCAGGGATTGGTGCCTCATCTGGGTCAGTTGTGTAGAGGACTTTTTAAGTGCCCTGGGGTGCATACAAAATCCCACCAGCAACTAATGTTGCTGTGGAGGTACAGCTTCAGCACTAGACAGAGGGGTCCATATCACACCCCAGCCACTTCACTCTCAGGAAATGTCCCCAGTAACTTTTGGAAATGAGGTTAAGTGAGCCCCAGTGCTGATCAGGATGCTGTGGCAAAGAGAAAAATCTCCTCTCCCTCCCAGAATGAAACCACAATTTTCTGTTCATCCTATCTTAAAAGCTATTCCCTATACTGACTGAGCTACAGCAACTTGTTGTCTTACACTAAAAGAAGAAGAGTTTGAGGATTTATGAGAAGGTGGAGCTGAAGAGAACATTTGGACTAATTGCGAAGAGACAGTAAGAAAGGACAGGAGGAATGCAGAAAATAAAATTACAGGACTTTATAATTTTTACTCTTTGTGAAATTTTGATGGGTTGATAAAATCAAGGATGAGGAGGTTGGTGAGGCATGTACCATGGATGGAAGCGAAATGAACACAAAATATTAATTGAAGTACTTGAAAGGAAGAGATTCTTTGAAGAGGTATGTATAGATAGATGTATCCTATTAAAATGGATGTTACAGAAATAGCATGCAAGGAAGTGCAGCTGATTCAAGTTGTTCAGGATAGGGTCCAGTGGAGGGCACATGTGAATATGGCAATGAACCTTCCAATTCCATAAAGGATGGGAAATTTCTTAACTCTGTGTAATTCTTTATGCAGTTTTCTGCATTTTCCTGTAATGTCCTGTCTCTTTGATCCATTTATTTTTCTCAGCATCTTGTTCTCATATGTCTCCAAAATACAGAGCAGATTTTTGTAAAGCATGTTAATTGTTCTGCACTTTTATCTCTCCTGCCTTCTATCACAATGACCCTATTTTGTGAGTCGACACACGAGTAGTGCAGTTTCCACATGCCACATGTTCCTGTTTGAACTTTTTACTATAAGCCTGATCCAGAAGTTCTATTAGAGCCTTCTTCAGCCCCTTTGATAATCATTCTAAAAAAATGAAAATTAAAAATGTTTTTGAACAGTCGCTTCAGAAAAGACATGATGCCTTCTGAGTTTTTTTTTAGTGTTTGCTGAATGTCTCCAAAGACATCTGAATGTCTCAGATGTGTCATGCTTTGGACTTTGCGGGGGTTAGATTTCGACTCTAATACCATCTGCCCTGAGTGAAATTCTTTCAATGCCTATTTGGCCTGTGTGTCTATGTGCTGCATGAACGAGGTTCGAATCCTGGCAGGGGAAAGGATACTTATGAATATTAATGTCTTCTAGGATGTGATGCTGTGTAGTCTGGTAGTTCTTTACAGATGTTTCGGAGGAATGGACAACTTCCTTCTTCAGGGTAGAAGAGCCACTGCCGTGAGAAACTCGCATCTCACAAGGATATCTATCTTTGCCACCACGTACACAGTCCTGTGGCCCATCTATCCTCCCTCACAATTGGTACCGGGCGCTATTTTCTCGAGGATACAGCGGCAGGGGTTAAATTGGCCTCTTATTTGTATATATGCCAAGGCTAAGAATGCGTGTGTAGGAGATTTACAGAGTGAGTCTAAATTATCGTCGCTGTTTCAATGGCCTGTAAACGGAAACCCCGACGGTAATTTATAATCACCCTATACATCCACTCCCTTAAACATAGTATATATGGTACAAGTAAAAAGTAAAAAAGTAAAGTAAAACTATCCCTGTAACAGGCCGTGAAGGCCCATAGCGTTGTGAGACGTTGAGGGTGCCACATTATCTAGACAATCGGCTCAAAGATGGCGGTAAAGTTGTCAGCCCTACGCGCCGGCCGCGCTTTACTCCCCAGGAAAATTAATTAATTCCTGGTACTAAGTTCTGTTAGAGGCTGAGTGAACCCCAGGGCCATAATGCGGCCGGAAGGATTAGGTCAATTGAAAAAATCAAATGATCTCATCGGGATTTGAACCCGCGACCTTCCGGCTTGTAGCATAGCTCCTCAACAAACTACCCTACCGCGTGCCCCTCAAACTTATAAATGGTGCGGTGCTTAATTAAATTGGATTTTAAAGAAACACTGTCTGGACTGGATTTATCTGACTCAGGACTGTGTCCATTAGCAGGCTTTCATGAACACGGCGATGAACAAATTGGTCCCATAAAATGAAGGCAAGTTCTCGACTAGATGAATATTATCTTCTCAGTAAAACTGCTGTATTGAGTAAGTAGAAAATAATGAAAAAAAAAAAACCTTTCAATGAACATTATATACCGACCATGATTACATTTTCGGTCTGAAGGCGTCCCTTGGAATTCTGGCGGCCTGTGGTGGCTGTTCGACTAGTTTCCTTGTATCTGGCGCTTTGTTCTGGAAGTTACATGTTCAGTACATTGCGTGTCCCGACACCTGTTTCGTTTGATTTACCGCTTCTCGACTTGATACTATGTCACTTGGCGCTGAATGCTAGAATGCCTACAGATTACAGTTTGGGACTTCCTGGAGGTAATAAGGAAGGTACAGTAAAGTTGTTCAGATTAATACGTCCTCAGTTACGTCTAGATGATCCAAAAGATACTGCCCTTATTACCTGAGTTACGCTTGCGCAATGAGAACCTCATCTTCCAAGACCGCGATACGCAGACTTAAAGCTGGGTCCGAGATTGACACTACAGTTTGTGATGTCACTCGACTCTTACGGCAGTTGTGTAGTGGACGTCGTGACGTTAAGTCGATATATCTTGTTTGTCGAGGCGAGACAGCTTAAATATTGACATACAGGATGAGTGAAAATTCATTATGGTCATCGCTCTTCAATTCTACAACTGTGACGGTTTTCGAAATTTCACAGTTTTTTCTTCTGCTGATTGTGGCAGTGATAACACTTATTGTTATAAACTACAGAAGACGAATTTATATAGCAATGGTCACGTTGCCAAGGGATTTAAGGTAAGTTAAAGTTATAATTACTGGCATTAGACTTGTAAGTTTCACCAGCTTACTTATGCCACCAGAAATGTAACCCACCTATCGTCAAACCACGGCTGGCTGCACAACGTCCTACCTCAAGGGGTCCCGTTGTGCGTTGATATAGCCAAAATATTGGTGCAAATTTTATCAATATTGCAGTTCATTTTTATATTTCTGTTTTGTACTTCTCGATATGTGAATACAAATATCCATACGTATTTTTCATCTCTTGTTATAAATACGCCATGATTGAATCCTGTAACTAAACGCGTTTCAAATAGTTGTGGCCGCTTTGAGAAAAAGTAAAGACTTTTTATGACTGAAATGGTTGATGGGGGACATGTGAGGACTTTTTATGTGTTTAAGAGTTGGCGTTGATAATACGGCAGGGTGAGAGAGTGGACAGACAGCCACTTTGCGCCCGGAGCCCCAGAAGCGTAGCTACAATAGCGCTGCAAACAAATTTATAAATAATATACATGCAACATTATAAAATGGCAACTGTATGAAATTTGAATCAAAGTGTGATCAAAGTTATTGCAGGCTTCACAGCATACAGTAAGGGATAACAGTTTCTCCCCTAGAATCTACAGTTTTATAAAACAATTTAGGTTGTCCTGCCCCAAGAATAGGGTGAAATACGTGATGTCGAAAAAAGGGGCCTTCTGTATTTTTCATTACCATTCCACCAAAGTAAATTCTGTAACAACGTAGATTAATTTTTGGGGTGGGTAATGCTTGCTACCATTTAGTCCAGAACCTTTTGTCCTCTCGTCTGTTGTCCAAAAACATAAAAATTAGAATTACAAAACTATAATTTTGCCTGTGGTTCTGTATGGGTGTGAAACTTGGTCTCTGACATTAAGGGAGGAACATAGACTGAGGGGGTTTGAGAAGAGGGTGTTGAGAATATTTTGACCAAAGAGAGATGAAATCACATGAGGTTGGACAAAACTGCATAATGAGGAGCTTCATACCTTGTGCTCTTCTCCAAGTATAATTAGAATGATCAAGTCAAGGAGGATGAGGTGGGCAGGTCATGTAGCACGAAAGGGGGAGACTATGAATGCGTATAGGATATTGGTGGGAAAGCCAGAAGGAAAGAGACCACTGGGAAGACCAAGGCGTAGGTGGGTGGACAATATTAGAATGGATCTTAGAGAGATAGGATGGGATGGTATGGATTGGATAAATCTGGCTCAGGATAGGGACCAGTGGAGGGCTCTTGTGAACACGGTGATGAACCTTCGGGTTCCATAAAATGCTGGGAAATTCTTGAGTAGCTGCAGAATTTGCGGTTCCTCAAGAAGGGCTCAGCTCCATGAGTAAGTAAGTAAGTAAGTAAGTAAGTTGGGTTACTTCCAAGTAATGATTTATAATTGTGTGCGTGATTTGAGATTCACATAGCGGTGATTATGGTAAAAGTATACCGAAGTTTCGGAATAACGTGTTGCTCCATCTTCAGGTTTGGAGAATGAATCTTGCTGCTTGCTTGTTTGATTGCTGGATATATTCTTCACCTTGAAGATGGAGGCAGCACGTTAATCAGGAAAGTCGGTGAACTTACGTGAGAAGTACCCCAAATTCTGTGCGTGGTTAAATACTTCCTGGGTCATGTTTAGTGTACGGTTGTAAGAATTCCGATATTACAGAAAAATCGGAAGGAAATTTTAGGTTTACTGAAACCTATACAGTATCCTTTTCTAATACACTGTCATTGCCTGTTAATAGATTATAAATTTAGTTGGGTGAGGCACTATGCGACAAGCCGGAGGGTCTCAGGTTCGAGGCCCGATGAGGTGGGTTTTTTTCAATTGACCTAATCCTTCCAGCTGTATTATGGCCCTGGGGTCGACCCAGCCTCTAGCAGAAATGAGTACCAGGAATCTTCCTGGGGGTAAAGGGCGTCCAGCGCGTAAGGCTGACAATCTGACTGTCATCTGAGCCGATTGTCTAGAGAAAATGTGTGAGCCTCGACGTCTCACAACCCTCTGGGCCTTCACGGTCTGTTACAATGGTAACATTAATTTTATGCTACGAAAATAGTAATAATGGTAAATGTGAGTGTACGTGTATGTGAGTGTACCAGTCCCTATTACAAACCACATGAATCAACTCCATCCCTCATATCCTACTTACTATTATACTCCCATCAATGTCTAGGTCTAAGAAGTGCTCTTTTCCATTCTAGTTTTTTTCTGATAATAATACATCTGGGTGAATCTATGAGACGATAGGCATATGTGTGTAAAAGCTAAAGCTGAACTATCATTAATTAAGATCTGAAAGTTTCTGACGATTGTACATTAATACAAATATTATGTTTTTGGACATTATCCCTCGTCTTGTATTTATCTAAAAACCGTCCTGTTCATTCTTCAAAACATAACGTTAAAATACTTCTGGTTTTGGCATATGACCTTCGCTCGGTTGACCAAACTATGAACGACTCCCCTTCTTACGTGATATGGGTGGTTGGATTTGAAATGAACATAAGGATCAGTATGAGTAGCCAAAATTTTGTGGTCAGTTTTGGACCCCGCTTCATAACGCAAACGTCTAAGAATCGAAGGGTATTTTAGCCTCAACTGCCATAGTCAATTTGATGGTAGGCCTAATGCTGTTGATATAGTGGAGAAATTCCTGTAACTTTTGCTGATGCATGTGGCCATATCACGAACGTGTCGTCGACGTACACCTTAGTCATTTTGCGGGTATGTATTCAGCTGTGTCCAATGCCGTTTCTTCAGAATGCTCCATGAATATATTACTGACCACCGGAGATAGAGTTTCCCAATGCCATACACTCATTTTGCTGGTAGAATTTATCCTCAAACTGGAAGTACGTGGTTGTTAGGCAGATGTCCGGTAGTATGAAGTGTTTTTCGCGTAAACCGGTAACAACTGGGTCGAGAAATTCTGTCAAGGACGTTTGAGAGCTGCAGATGATAGCCGACCAATTCCTCCTGCTGAGATTGCGACAGAAGAAGCTGTGCAGAGGGTGGAAGAGTTGGTTTGAGCTGACAGGAGAACAACGATAGACAGTGTAACTGCACTGTGGTGTTCCCATGACTTAGTATACAACATAATGCATGATCGCTTGAAGTTTCGGACAGTATGCGCACGGTGGGTGTCCACAGAACTGAAGGGCCAAGAAAAAATTGCGACATCTTTTATGGTATGCAGATGAAGGAGAGAAGATATGCTTAACAGGATTGTTACCGGGGACGAATCATGGGTGCATTACCACCAACCCGAAACAAAGAGCGTTTCAATGCAATTAAAAATTTTCAGTTGAAAAGGAGGTGCAAAAGTGTCTGAGAAAACAGTCAAACGATTTCTATGCTGCGGGTCTGGACGCACTGATTAAGAATTGGGACAAGTGTATCAACGTTGATGGAGGATATGTAGAGAAATAAGATATTTTTTACAGGTTTGAATATCACATATTTTACGTTTTATATCCATTTGTAACTTACGGTATTTACTGACTCTCCCCCCAATTAGGACTCCGCTCTGGTTCTTCTGCTGTCAATAGCGAGAAAGGTAGGATGACTGAAGCATGGACTGAAAAGGATTTGGAAGGAAGTGTCCCTAGCCTAATCGAGGTACTATCCCAGGATTTTCCTGGATGAACTGAGGAAAACTACGAAAGAGCTCGGTCACGATAGCTGGCTTCTGGGCTAAGATTCGAAACTAGGACCTCCCGCCTCAGCCCGCTCGGCACTCCATGGTGTTACCTGCTTTCCCTTTTTTCATTATTTATTTGTCTGTTGTTTACTGCACGAACATGTCAGTTCCTCAGACTACACAGCGGGAAACTGTAGAATGAATTGAAGCGGATGTGGACGTTGTAGTGTAAGATACTACCTCGGCATTTACGAGGGGTAACTGAGGAAGACCGCCGGTCACGGTATCCGAGCGGTCTAAGGCATGTACTATCTCCGCTCGCTCGAAAGCCGAGATCGTGGGTTCTAATCCCACACAAGGCATGGCTGTTTGGGACGTGTTCATTCTGTGTTTGTGTTGTACTCTGTTTAGGTAGAGGCCCTGCGACGAGCTGATCACTGTTCCAGGAGTCCTACCATCTGTTAAGTGATCATGAAACTGAAAATCAGAGGCCAGGGCTCAAGGGGATTGTAGAACCAGTGAACAAAACTGAGGAAGACCACGAAAGGTCTCATTCAGAATAAGTGTCCTGACCTAGATTCCAACCAAGCACCTCCGAGACAAACATCACATGAGCAATACTGGCTATAAAATTGTTAACAACTGCAAAGTTTTTCATCTGAATGGAATAAACGGCCATAACTGCAACATATTTCACAACCTCCTCGGTTCAGATTTTTTTCCCTGCGCCAATAAGAGCCACGTGACAAAACATGTTCTCGCCTTCGTGAACAAACTGATGGTCGTGCGAGGTAGCTGATGCCATGATGCAACCTGACGTTTACGGGTCTGTAGAGGAACATAATTTCCGTATGTCGTGACGTCCGATTATTTGCATAACTGTATAGATAAACATAAATTCTATTCTGCTGTCTCTGAAAAAGCCAATGTAATGTCACCTGATAAAAAATCCGTAAAAAAGATGAAAGAAAGACTTTTTTAAAATGACGAACAGAGCAACGCCCTATCAAAAGAAATGTGTCTAATTCTGGTCATACAGGCCTAAATTATGTGAGGTTAGGTTTCGAAAGGCGAGAGAGACCAATATATTCACAGCAATCATATAGGCTTACTTTGCTTACTCATGGAGCTGAGCCCTTCTGGAGGAGCCGCCAATTCTGCAGCCACTCAAGGATTTCATAGCATTTTATGGAACCCGAAGGTTCATTACCGTGTTCGCAAGACCCCTCCACTGGTCCCTATCCTGAGCCAGACCAATCCAATGCATACCATCCTATCCTATATCTCTAAGATCCATTCTAATATCGTCCACCCACCCACGCCTTGGTCTTCCCAGTGGTCTTTTTCCTCCTGGCTTTCCCACCAATATCCTATACGCATTCCTCGTCGCCCCCATTCGTGCTACATGCCCTGCCCACCTCATCCTCCTTGACTTGATCATTCTAATTAATTATATTTGGAGAAGAGTACAAGTTATGAAGCTCCTCATTATGCAGTTTCTCCAACCTCCTGTCACTTCATCTCTCTTCGGTCCAAATATTCTCCTCAACACCCTCAGTCTATGTTCCTCCCTTAATGTCAGAAACCAAGTTCCACAACCATACATAACCACAGGCAAAATTATAGTTTTGTATATTCTAATTATTATGTTTTTGGACAGCAGACGAGAAGACAAAAGGTTCTGGACTGAATGGTAGCAAGCATTACCCGAGTTCAATCTCCACTTAATTTCCTCCTGAATCAGGTTTTGGTTTGTTATAGTTGTCCCCAAATATCTGAACTGTGCCACATTTTATCATATAGACTTATATATACCGGCCTTTGTAATGTTTGACCGGCTTTCCTACTGGCCTTAAGAGTCTACTTTGTTTTGCGAAACCATTTCCATTCGTGCTCTCGACTTTTGAGCTTGCTAGACACAAAGGTTCCCCAATCGTACACAATACCTGAACACGCAAAGGTGTGTTACCAAAATTGTAAGTACCACGTTAAATCCTCATGCTGCGAAAGTCGTGTTGTTTGAAATCTAAACCCACTAGGGTTCAGGACGATAATTTTCGCCAAGGCACCAGTAACTTTAAAAGAAATGATTACCATATGTTTCCAGGGGCGTGAGATATCACTGTATTTTCTTTTGCTTAATGTTTCCAAAATGTTTGAACACTATTTGCCAAATTCTTGTAAAAAAAAGTAAAAGCAAAGCTATCCTTGTAACAGACCGTGAAGGCCCATAGGGTTGAGAGATGTTGAGGCTCACACATTTTCTAGACAATCGGCTCACAGATGGCAGTAAACTTGTCAGCCTTACGCGCCGGCCGCGCTTTACACCCAAGAATATTCCTGGTACTCATTTCTGTTAGGGACTGAGTCGACCCCAGGGCCATAGTGCGGCTGGAAGGATTAGGTCAACTGAAAGAAATTGAATGACCTAATTGGGACTTGAACCCACGACTTTCGGCCTCAACCAACTACGCTACCGCGTGCCCCTGCCAAATTCTTGACTCCTCATATTGATACAAATAAAACGATTCGGTTCTCTCAATTCTGTTTCGTTTCAGGTTCTTCTGAACGTAATGGATACAATTTTTAATCACAGATATATCAGTTACTCTGTCACATTTCGAAAATTTGATTGCTTTCTTGAACGGAAATGTAGTCTTCTCTTGCATGTGGCCCAAAATTGTGGAGAGCCAGAAGAACATGCTCGCCCTTCGATTTCCTTTTCTCTAGTGGAGGGTGGATCCAGCTGGGTCCACTCGACACGGCGGTCACTGGTTGGCCTATTGTACGTACCCCGGGTGATTATGATGATGGAGAATTTGGTGGAATGAAGATTGGCAGGGGAAATCGAAGTACTCGGAGAAAACCCGCCCCAGCGCCACTTGGTCCACCACAAATCCCACTTGACCAGACCCGGGATCGAACCCGGACCGCCTCGGTGGGAAGCCAGAGACTAACCGCTTGAGCTATTCGATTTCCTTAATAATACAGTTAACCGCAAACATTAGAGAACTTGAAATGTGACCTGAGAGGCCAGTTCAAATTATCCATTGTGAACCTAACTTTGAATTTATTGGATCTGAGGTTGTCAAGGCCATGGCTATGAAGAGTAAACACTCTCCTCTGGCATGTGACACCGTATAGTGTGGCACTCCACAGAAATGTACTGCTTTCATCACTGCTCCCGTTTGCTTGACTTGTTCTTCATCTTTCAGGTTTCTATGTCACATTCCTTGAGAATTCAAAGGGAGGGCTTAAGAATTTTCTATATAAGGCTTCATACTGCTAACTTCCTCTGCGTTCTCTCCTAAGACTGTCCGTCTACGCCGTCTACGCAGAAATAGTCAATCGTAAACTGTCTCCTTTCTATAGTAATACCATACTTGACGTAAAAGAAAAAGTAAAGCCATCCCTGTAACAGGCCGTGGAGACCCACAAGGCTGTGAGACATCGAGGTTCCCATATTTTTCTAGACAAAAGGCTCACACATGGCGGTGATGTTGTCAGCCTTATGTGCCGGCCGCTATATACCCCCAGGAAGATTCTTGGTACTCACTTCTGTTAGAGGCTGAGTCGACTCCAGAGTCACGGTGCGGCTGGAACGGTTAGATCAATTGAACAATTCAGTGACTTCATTGGGAATCGAACCCGTAACTTTCTGGCTTGTTGTATAGTGGCTCAACCAACTACGCTACCGCGTTCCCCCACATTTCACATATCCACTTCAAATATTACCAGTACTCATAGAATATACAAGATACACAGAAACAAAAGATAGCTCGCTTATTCATGACCTGCAACGAAACCAAGGTTCAGACAACGTGGTAATTTTCGACAATTTGTTGCTATGATAACCCGAAATAAGGGAATGATAATGATAAATATCACGTTATAAACTTCATATGTTACTCGTATATGTACATACATACATACACACGCGGTTAACGACCCGTAATGCCAAATTTAAACAGAACACGTACTTCCAACATGAGCGAATAAATACGCCTGACCTATCAGAACGGTGAAGCTAATTGGTACCTAAAGTTCTGGCTTCTGGGATATGATACCCTATAGTCTATTAAAAGTCAAACGACGTTTCGGAGGAACATGTCGCCCCCATCTTCGAGGTGAGAAAATAAGCAGGGCAAAAAATCAGCTTTGCTTGCCACATGCCTTCACACTGGTTTCTTGCACGGCTTATTCTTCGATTCTGAAGATGGAAGCGACATAGTCCTTCGAAATATCGACTGATTTTCAACGGACTATACGGAATTTTATTCCAAACAGAACTATACAAATGTAGTCGTGTTTGCTGGCCTTCATGGTTTGGTTCAGGAACATTGGGAATCCTTGGAGGTATTTTATTACGTTCCGTATTTTGTGTGTTCTGATCATGCACACACATAACCGTTCCCTAGCTCCGATAACGTCATTGACTTGAAGGTACACTGCCGTCATTGTCTGCGGAGTACGGGATGAAACGAACCCGAATGACTTCATCTTGGACTTCGATATTCGGACATCGTCACTGCGCTTCATGAGTGACAGATAACAGAGGTCATGTATTCATGCATAAACATAAATTTTATTTTGAGAATTAAATTATCATTAACATTATCTCATGTTTTATTTCACTGAATGAAATAGTAACTCTTCAGAACTATGAACTTAGAATTTTTAACAACACATTGCCTTCAATTTGAATGGTAAATTTTATGAACCCATTGGTGTGTATTGGTGTATATCAGAACACACCTGGGAGATTTTAATTGAACTTTGAAAGAGCTTGCTGTGACAGACGTTAAGCCCTGAAATTTATTTTTTGGTACATTCAGCAGTGGAAAGTTATACAAATGTCCCTTGCTCGGTAACATCCTTCTGTCCGTACGTAACAACTCGATAAATTATTAATGGATTTTCATGAAATTTAATAGAGTGGAGGTACACTAAAATTTGTCGAGAATTTCCAATTTTAATTAAAATCGGACAACAACGACGGTCACTTTACATTAACAAAATAAATACACACGTTTCTGTATGTTACTAGATAACGAAACGTTTCGGAAGCTGGATCTATTTCCGTCCGCAGGTGAGAAAGGGGAGGAAGTCACCTACTCAGTTGGGTCCCTTTGAAAGAGCCAAGCCCAATCCAGTTTCCGAAACTTTCGTGTTTTCTAGTGTCTACAATATCGGACGATGGATAAACAAATGATTCTGAGTAAAACTAAGTTATTTCGAGACTTATATATGTACATTCTTTTATTTTCAGGATCATGTACGGATTTGGAAAACTTATATGGTATAATCGCGTTTTTCAAAAGCAAAACACAACTGTGTTGAAACTGTTCCAACAACGTGTAGCAAAGGAACCGAAGAAGATAGTATTTTACTTCGAAGACAAGGCTTGGACGGTTGCAGATGTAAGTAAGCATAACAAGATAGAAAACGAAACCACGAAGTAAAAACTTTTGTCCATTGGCTTCGTTATGTCCGCTACACGAATAGGTCTCAACCCGCGGAAAGCGACCCACTGGTGGTGCTTAACGGTCGGCTGAGTGGGACGTGAAGTCTCGAAATCAATACTTCTGTGATTCAAAATTTATTTATAAAGAAGGGCCGCGCCATAGCTCAAGCGGTTAGTCGCTGGCTTCCCACCGCGGCGGCCCGGGTTCGATCCCGGGTCTGGTCAAGTGGGATTCGTGGTGGACAAAGTGGCGCTGGGGCAAGTTTTCTCAGAGTACTTCGGTTTCCCCTGCCAATCTTCATTCCACCAATTGCTTCACAATCACCCTCACCTATCATCTGGGGCTGGTACAATAGGCCAGAAGTGGCCGCAGTACAAGGGACTTAGTCCCACCCCACTAGCAATAAGAAATAGTTATAAAGACATTTCCTATACAAAGCACAGTCTTCTCGTAAATGCTGCACCGTGGACCTAATGATATCTGATAAGAGAACTGTGTTTCTTCTATACTAGGGGTCCGTATACTCACAAACGTAACATCATAATGACCAATACTGAAAAAGAAAATACAGATTTCATCGAGTCCTTCTGAGAAATCCTATTTTAATGAAAATGACAATTCATTACTGAAAAGAAAGCTTCGTCTTTTCTAGAGTTTGGTGTATATATATATATATTTATTTATTTATTACATTCTTAAATACATTTTTTCTGTCCCATGTATATCGTTTGTTACTACGGCATGTTTCGTATCTGCACACACGGATATCACAGGAATGCAAACAACCCAAGAGGCAGATATATACAGATAAGCCACGCATCCCAGACAAGAACTGCAAATATAAACACTGCACAAACAAATATGCGCTCTGCTATAACAACACACATAACAATCCTCTTGGTGGCAGCAACAGAATATTAGGTGATATAATTTTATGAACTTCTGAAGAACTTTTAATTATTCATACGAAAAAAATACTTGCAAAAATTAACAATCAGCATAGACGTATGACCCAAAATAGAGCATACAGTGAATTAATTTTACCAGGACTCCCTTATACATAAAAATACTTTTATTTACAAAAATTTAAAACTCTTGTTTGTTATGACGTAATATTCCGTTATTTTGTCGCGTATTGTAGGTGGCGTTTTACCATCCGGGGTACGCTGTTGTTTTATCTGGAAGTAAAGAACTACGTGTATTATGTAATTTTTTTTTTATTTTTTTTTTTCGGGGTTAAAGGGAATTACTTA